ATACTGTTTATGAAACCTGGGGCAGGTCTCACGAGGCCGGATTTCTTGCTTAACCAGCTAACTTTAAGGCCACACTATGTAAGATTTGGGAGTTTGGAGACCTCTCTGGTAGAAATGTGTAATTGCATGCAATGTACAGAAGAACATTTTGCAATGACAGATGTGCTTCAGGCCTCTTCCCCAAGCCAATGAATGTGATGAGCGTGTTGAAAGAGTATTAAAAGAAAACTCGGTCAAAGCTTGGTGAAGGACGTGTCTTCCAAGAATGTAAGTGAATTATCTGCTATTGTCTTATTTTCATCAGTATAATATTGATTTTGCATTTGAGACCTAAACATCGAACCAGGTCTTCTTTTTGAGCGTGTGCGTGTGACGTAAACACATAAAGGTGTATGCTGTGATGTGAAAACTGCCATGACGTCAGATTCGACACCTTAAGGATGTAATTCAATTATTATTTCAGGCTGCATGGGGCGACTTGCAGCAGCGCACACATCATATTTTAGACTCAGCAATGTTACTGCTTTTAGTTTTAACAAAAAATCTTGCATAGTGCAGCTTTAGGCTTAGTTCACGTTCCAGGCGATTGGCTGTTTATCCTAAACGTCATGCTTTTATGTGCTCCCACAAGCACTAACCAAAGCTTGAGTATCTAAACCTGAGTTAACAGAGAAAGTTGTGAAATAAGTGAACTGCAAATAACTGCAAAGAATCTACTGAAACTTAGTAAGGAACTTATTTGCATGTTTTGAATAGATGAACATCAGCACTTTTTTTCTCCACTTAAATAATTTCCTTCCCACTGCTGCCAGCCATTACCGTGTTTAGATCCTTTTAAGAAAAACGGAGTACTCTGTAGTGTGTTTGTAAAAAGCACATTCAGTTATTCATGGTCAATCTCAAGCACAAACTGTGCACCTTTGGTACCTTTGGTCACTTCCTTGTTGGAAGGATAATTTAAGGGTATAAAAACACATCATAAAAGTCCCATGTAAATAGAGGTGAGAAGTTCCCTCACTTGAACTGTGCTGACCTCAGCATGTTGGAGCATCCTGAGCTTGGTTATTACTGAAGATACAGAAACTGTGTGCAGAACAGTGGCTGGTTTTTGTCAAGTCAGTAGTGTACATGTGGACAGGCCTTAAAAACAAAAATGCTTAATATGAATATAACAAACCATTTGCTTATTCTGTTTCTGCAAGCTTCTTTGCAAGATGATAACTAACCAGATCATAAAATCATGAGTATGAACCAGCCACACATTACAATGTTTTAAGTGTGAACCCTACTAACTCCTGTGGGCCTAGCAATGCCTATTTTGCTAGCATTGTTGTATATGAACATTTGTTAATTCTAGCTTAAACTATCATGAACCTTGTAACAGACATTCAAGTAGCATATTGTTAACTTTGGATGCTGTTTGTAGTAGAGACCTATGTTTGTGCTAAAGACCTGAACTTTAAAAGAGACACTTTTGTCATCACTACATCTGCTGTACAAATATGCTTTTTTGCAGCCTACAGCGGTGCTATGGTTGTCGCCTTTGACGGAGGGAGGAGGCATGTGGGTGGGGGGGCTGTTTTTAAATATTTTCTGTTAGCTGGTGTGAATGGAAAGGAATAGATCACTCAAACGACAGAAATGACTGCTCAAAAAAAATGTAGCTAAAAGCTACATTTATACATAACCTCAATTTGGCTTCTTTTCTCTGGCTGACAGGACTAAAGAAACACCTGAGACAGTGAAGGAGACAGCAGGAGAGAGAGACTGTAAAGGAGACAGTGGGAGAGAGAGAGAGAGAGAGAGAGAATGAAGGAGACACCTAGAGAGAGAGAGAGGGACAGTGAAGGAGACAGCGAGAGAGAGTGGGCGAGTGAATCACACTTACCTAAAGTTAGCTAGCTAATACACAATACTAGCTAAGTTGTCCTGGCAAGAATGTGCTTTTTCTTGATTGGGAAAGAATGCCTGACACGATAAGTATTTAGAAACGTCTTGATGAGAAGCGAAATAGTGGACGCTAAGATCTGCAGGGTCTTCAGCAGTAGCCCATGGTTGTTGGCAGTAGATATTATTGGCAGGAGTATAGACAGTGTGTACAGTGGAAAGTGTCCTGTGCATATAAAGTGAAATCTAATCATCTCTCATGACATTCAAGCTTGCATTATTTAAATGTCTCTAATGAAAAATGACTGGGTGAAAACAAGGCTCACTTGAGGAACAGATGATTGAGCACCTGCACTTGATCAGAAATGCCACATGTGCCCACGGTGGACTGTCTATGATGGTGAGAGGAGATTATCTAGGATCTTATGGCAAGCTAGAGTGAGAGTTGGTGGCTTTTTTTTAGAGGAACTTGTGTACAGTGGGTTACGGTTCAAATCTGGCTCAGTTTTGCTTGTAAAGCAATGGTACTAGGGCACAAGAGAAGGAAGTGAAGAGAAGTGAGGAAGAGAGACAAAGTAGGACAGTGAGGGGGAAAAAAGTAGAAGACATGGTAAAGAGGTAGAAAAGGGTGGGTGATCCTTTTTGAAATAATTCACATCTCACCATCACTCCGGAGAAGGGCGGCCCAGGTTTCTTCTGCCTGCCATCTTGGGTATCACCATCCAGCTTTCCTCATACTTACCTTATGTGACTCAGGCATAATTTCTACAACCATTTACAGCAATAAAGTGGAGGTCCCATTCAGAATTTGAACCAACAACCTCCTGATAGAAGGGGGAACAGCGCTCCCATGTGCCACAGGACCATGTGAAGGTTCCCAGCTTCACAGTAAAGATATGCAGTAATTAAACCCAAAACCTTCATTTTTATCAGGACTTAAATCAACAACCTCCTGAGTACAAAGGCATAGTTCATAGCAGTGAGCCACAGGGCTTCACAACCAAGTCTGGCTCCTTTTTGGACATTTGTCTTTCAGGTTCCCCAGATTCAACTCCACAAATTGGTAATATAATTTGTTAATAAAGAGAACTTCATCTAGGTTGATCCGGGTCCTCGGTGGTGATCTCAAAATTCTTGAAAATGGTACTTGCAGATGTTAAAATGTAAGAAATGTTCTCCTGCCGGAGAATACCCCTGGACTTCCTAGAACAGTGGTTCCCGATCCGGTCCTCAGGACCCTCCAGCTGGTTCACATTTTCCCCTTCATCCTTATGTGTTGTGAGTTGGGTTGGAGCAAAAATGTGGACGGCCTGGGAGGCCCTGAGGTCAGACTGGAGTTTTTGGATTGTTTAGAAAGTCATGGGCTTTATTCTGCATGCTTGTGGTAAATGACTTCATCTTATACCCTAACTAGCAACCAGCTTTTTTCCACAAGTTAACTTTAACTAGTCTGATGAAGTATGTAGGAACTTTGATAAAAAAACTTGAGTACTCAGGCTTATAGTAGTTTTAATTAATTGTGACAGCTAAATAAAAAGTTATTAAAATTAAAATAAAAACTAAGCAAGTCATAATCTTATAGCTGAATCCAATGGAGTTTAGCTGAGGATCTGCCAGCACTCACGCTTGCAGCTGTTGACAAGAATTTAGTCAGACAGGGAGAGGCTGTTTTCTTTTGGAAAGGCCCAGTGCGTTTTGAGCCAAGTTTGTTCCCCCTTGTCAGGGGGCATACAACCGCAGTGTTTCCTGACAGAGTGCTAGCTGTGTTCTTATCTTCATGTACATGAATAGTACAGTTCTCACATTCTAAAAATGAGATGGTAGTAGGGGGAGGGGAACAGAGAGAGGGGATTTATGCTAAAATGTTTTGAAAGTATTTAGGCAAGATTAATATTTTCAAAAAAGCAACCAAAACATCTCTGTTACAAATGAAAGCATGAACTTTGTTTAGAGCACCTATTGCTTGAGAACAATTTAGCCGAAAGCAGCATGAGTGTAAATGTTACATGGGATTAATTGTATCAGGCCAGATGAGATTTCTGTCCTAAATACATACAAAATATCTGTCAAACGTTTAATCACATCTATGGTACATTTCTGTTGATTCTTTGCATAAAAACTTCCAAAAAAATAACTGCTTTGAATTCATATGGAGGAGTATGGATGTACTTTGCACACTTTGGGAAGCTTAAGTTGTACCAGCATGTTAATACCTACCCCACCATGTGGAGGCTGTACTGTAGCCTGGCCAGCTCTCCCTATGAGATCTTTACATGTAAAGGAGTCCAAAAGTCTCAGAAAATTTTAAAACACAGAAAAGTTATGACATGAGATCCTTCCATTGAAGCACGTGTTCAGGTGACTCTCAGGTGGATTTGATCTACTGATCAGAGGCTTTTGCACAAACTTATGGAGTCCATGCCAGCTTGAGCACACGCCTTCATTAAAGCGAAAGGGGGACACATTAAATACTAAGAAAGTTCATGTAAATATTCAAATATGTTATCATTAGTAACAAAAAAAATTGTGTTAATTATAAAGGAATGCAAAATGGAAGCAATGTCTCCAGTGGTCTCAGATGTTGGGACCCCACTGTACTTTTAAATTGTATTAAGATTAAAATAATAATAAATTAAAATAATACATCAGTAATCAAGAAACACAATGCAAAATATAAAAATAGTCTTGAGGGTGAATGTTGAGAAATATCTGTCCAATTGCTGTCAGAATTCATAGATGATGTTGCTATAGGAATGTGAGATGATCAAAAGCGTGTTCTACTTGAACTTATTTGTTTACATCATCTGCAAAGTGCCAGTATGGCTGCAGGTTTTTATTTCACCAAAGCAGGCGATCACATGATCAACTGTGTCACTGAAACAGCTTATTAAAAAATTAAAAAGTGGAATCAAGTGTGCTTCTGCTTGTTTGGAATGAAAACCTGCAGCCAACCTGCATCTTTGTGGATAAGATTGGACACCCCTGGTCTACATAAATATGTATAAAGTAATATAAAACAAATATAAAAATGTTACATTTTACTTCATGTCAGTTTGTACTCTACTCTCCCCAAACACATGGTTAAAAACACAAACACAAAACAAAAATCCCAAAATACAACATTAGTTTTTAATTTAAGAAAGTCATTTAATTCAAGAAAATGTCATTTGTTAGAAAAAAAAACGTTCCCAGCTTTATTTGAATAACAACTGAATATTAGATGTCTAGCTGCCTTAAAGAGAACATTTGGAAACAAACAGAATTTTGGTCTTAAAATAATAATAACCATGTAGTAACATGACTACTCTGCAACACAATGGACTGGCTTCACAGTCTGGTCTGGCAAGGCCTGTAAATCAGTGCTGCCAAACAGAAAGCTTATTCTTCGGAAGAAAAAATGTCACTGACTTCTTTCACTATACATCACATAAAAAAAACACTTTACACAATCCCAAAATGCAAATACTAACAGAACTGCATAAGGCATCAACCGTGAAATAAAAGACCATATCACACTGCACTTTTTGCATCATACCGTGATGTAAATCGTTTGTATAAAGACGTATAAAGTAGCTTTAGTATAAACCAAAAGAAGAATAATGACAAAATAAAGACAACTAAAATATGCTAGTAATATTAAAAAAAGACATATATATCTAAAAAGTGCTGAATAAGGTGATTACTGTATGTCAGTAAAAGCAAAGTGCCTCTGTTGGAACAAAGCTTATTAGCGTAGGAGGGGCTGGAGAGGTGGGCAAGGTAGGACCTTAGCTTGAAGAGGACCTTTTAGATCCCCAGGTCCACTTACTTCCACTTCCATTGGCGAGACTTCATTGTAAAGACAGCCAAAGCCATCGTAGAAGTCGTCCACCTCCAAGCCATGGTTCCCTCCTTTCCTCTTCCTGGCCCGGTCACCTCTCCTCCTATCTGTTTCTCCACTGTCCTCGTAGGCTCTGAGCTTCAGGTCAGTGGTGTGTAAGATGTACACTGCATTGGTCGGTAAGGAAAGCTCAAGACTGCTGAGGTATTCGTCCACCGTCTCCCTGCAGCAAATGAACTCTGTGCTCTCGATCTGAGGGGGAAACCCAAAACGCTGCCGTGAGCAGAGAGAACAGTAGGCAGGTCTAAGCTTTGATCAATGCAGTTTTGAAACATGAACAGACTGCTAAAGGGGAAAGTATAGACGTGCAGAAGCACAAACACTCTTTTAAATCCTGAGAAAAGCGTATAAAAGTTCCACATGCTCTCTGGAGCAGAATGTTGGTGTAAATCTTTTGAACTGCCTGAAGGTTACTATGGAAACCTAGTCTACCCGAGCTGGCTGTTCTGGAGAAAAGAATAAGATACAAGTAAAAAGGGTAAACAAAACTTGCATTAGAGCAATAGTCTGACATTTTTCCCTTTACCCCAAATGTAGCTGATCAGCGAGACATGTATAGTGTTCACTGTTTGTGTCTTCAGTTTTGCAACAAAAAGTTATGAGGCTAATGTAGCTAAAAAGTAATGGAAGCTTTCTGATTAGCATCATCCAAATTGCATTCTTAATCCTCCCACAGTTAGCCCAAACCATGAGTTGTTACATAAACCACATAAATAGGTTTATTTGAGATTACTAAACAACTAACTGTGGGATGAGTGCGTGGCGATTTAGGCCTGGATGGTAATCCGACTGTAAAAGCTTCCATTATTCATAAAATAGATTAGCCTCTTAGCTCCACTGCAAAACTATTAAGGCATCATGAAACTTGAGACACCATGTCACAACAGAGGAAAATCTGGCGTAAACTTGATTTTTTGCTAAACTGTCATTTTAAAGAAAAAACCCTCAACCAACAGTCAAGAGTACGACCAACAAGATCAGTGGTGTGACCATGTCCAGCTTCACAGCTCTTGTATACCTGTGCTTTCCTCAGCAGGTCGGAAAAAAATGAGAACCAGTCGGGCATGAGCCTCTCCAACTCCAAAGTGATGATGGCCAAAGCCAATGTGGAGCCCTTGAACTGCCAAAGCTGGTGGCAGGCCATACAGTGCTGCACCTGCCTGGTCCACAACGACGCTTGGAAGCAAGGCCTCTTCTGAGCGGCGGCCAGCGCTAGGTGGGGACGTGCGGACACCAACAGGCTGTGGAACTGCAAAAACACCCAATGTCAGAACATCAAACGGAACAGAGAGAGACTCATAGGCACTGTCAACTTGTCACCAACTTTCAATAATTAAAAAACGGAGGATGATGGTTCTTTCTTCTGATTCTCTTGTTCTGCTGTTTCTGTGATATCCCCCTTTGTGATTGGGGCGTGAAACCCTGTTTTTAAGATGTTTCGTGTTCGTTAGTCTCCCTGCCATTAAAACCATAAACTAAAAAAAAACAAACAAAAAAAAAAACAAAACAAAAAGACCTGTGGTTCCGTTCGACTAGGAGCCAAGGTTCATGGTTCAATGGTTCAAGTCAGTGGTCCCATTTGATAGGTAGAGCTATAAACCATTTTTCTTTCTGTCGTATGCAGGATATTTTGTTAACATGCACGTTTTGTATGTTAAACTCCTTGAGAAAAAAAGCCATGTTTGACAGGAATGATGTGTCCCGTGTTTACATATACTAGAGTGACTTAAAAATTACATGAGGATAGTATTGTAGTCCTGTAACATTTTCTTTGACCGTTATTTCCAACACAAGAATGAGAGTAGTTAAATCATCTCATAAGGCAAGACGTTTCACATTATTTTTGTTTTGTTTTGTTTTTACAGGAATGTATTCACAAGATAGCAAAATGTTGACTATTTATTTGAAAAGATTTAAGGAAATTTATTTTTCTATGCTAGTAGATATTTTTTCATTTCATAAGCAATTATTATATTTCATTGTTCCAAGTATTACAGACAAGAGAGAACGTGTCTATATACAAATCCCATTTATTTGTTTTCTTTACAGTCTAAATATTGATTTTTTTTTTTCAGGAGGCTTTCTTTTAAATGAAGAGGGACTTTTAACAGAGTGTTTTGCCAAGCTCTTTGTATTCTGACAAGCAAATTTCAGGAAAGTGACTGGCTTTCTTAAGTGTGCCAAAGCAGCAATGCAGTTTGCCCTACATTAGCCGCAACAGCAAAAATAAATACAAACCACCTCTATTGCAAACCTTGCTTCTTCTGAACCATTAATTAGTACTGATGAGCTCACGGCCTCGGCCAAATCAACATTTTCATTTTGCATGATATTTTAAATGAATGGCACAACAAAGACAAGAGGCTTTAACTTTTACCCCTTTGGGGCATTAATCCTGTTGAAGAAACTATATTTATAAAGACTAAGTATCTTTTTAAAATGCATTCCTCTTAAGCTGGGTCATTATCTGCTTTGCTGACTCGGTACAAGCCAGATCAGTGCCTTGGCCAAATGTACGTTGCATTTAACTCCCACTGTTCCAGTGCTAGCTTTGCGCCAAATGTTTGACCGAATGCAAAAGCACCTGCGGCCATCAATCTTTACTGGCTCAGGACCAGCCATGCCCAACCAATGCACAATTTGAGGGACCAAGACTCCATTTTGGTGATGTTTGCAATAGCCATGTCAAAAGGAGAGGTTCGGTGTTCTCTTGTGCTGTTCGTACCATTGTGTTTAGTCTGAACTGAGGAAAACAAATGAGGGGAAAATGTGTAAGCTGTTACTTACGATGTGAACAAAGTCGACTGGTGTTGCGGTGTAGAGGTCCCAGTGCAGCTTATCAAGGATGATCCTTTCCATGCGAAGAATCTCTGCTGTTGAAAAGTTGCATCCGCTCTGCGCCAACAGGTCTTTAACCGACGCAATCACCTGTGACGACAAATATCAATAAAGAAATGAACAATAAATCTATTAAACTGCTTAAAGCGTTTCCATTTTTTAAAATATGTTTTCACCATGTGCTTTAACCCACAACACTGTTCTGACATTTTGCTACAGTGGAGCGAAGAAAAACTTTACCTCATCTTCCTCATTGATTTTTGCAGCAAGTATCAGTGAGGTGATGGCCATGCACTTGAGGTATTTTGACTGGGCCTTTAAATAAAAAGTTTCTAATTAAAAACTTAAACTATCACACATTTCCATGAGAAGATATGTAGCCAGCACTCACCTTCACTGTCGCCAACAATCTGTTAAGGACACAGACTCCCAAAGCAAACGTCTCGGAACAAAACTTGAACGTCTCGCTCATTTCACGCAACCATATGACCATCTCCTGGTACAGAGATGGAGCAATGTCGGACCCCTGTAATAATAAACGATCAATTAAGGAAATAAAAGGGAACTTCTACCAGTTTGGTATGTTGACGAGACATAGTTTTTGCATTACCTGGATGCATCCACCTTTGAGAACGGGTGCTTTCCAAAGCCGCATCTCTCTTGCCAGGTTGTCCCGCAACAGCCTCTCCAGCCGCTGGTTCTCCTCTGAGCCACAGTACTTCATGGGGATTGTGGCCTCCAGGCTCTTCTGCTGGCAGGAACACCTGGAAAAGATTAGAGTCGTATAATTTAGTCTTTCCCATGACGGGATTCAATTTCAGTTCGTAAGGGGAAGATTTGATATACATGTATTTCAAATGATGCTACATTTCCTCTCAGTACTATATGTTCATTACATCCACTAAACTTACTTTACATTTTCATTTCAGGTAGTGCTGGATGATATATTGTCTACAGCTGTATACCGTATACAGTTTTAGAAATATTTTCAGCAATATATTTGATAAATAATTAGCATTTCATCCATATCCCTGCTGCCAAGCAGTTTGTTTTTAGCGTTTTACAGTCGTATATAATCTCCTCTACACAAAACACACTTCTGCACATTTTAATGCACAATTACTGTTTACTTGCTGAATTTAACACTGGAAAAAACATAAATTGTGGCCTGTGTAAAAGTTATGCCACTTTTTTTTTAATTGTGCTGTAAAATTGGCAAAAATTGCCATATTTATGTGTGTTCTCTGTAGATTCTTTTAGCATAGAGCAGCTATGCCAGCATTCAGCATTCTCATCAACTTTATAAATGAAGATTTTAATATCTGGCACTGTGATGTATTCAGAAAGTACTGTGATAGTGAATCTTACAAATATCATCCAGTACTTCCTTTCAGTTCACAAAACACTTAAATAAAAAAAACCTTAAGATGACCTCAAAACAATGGGCAGGGACACTCTCCCAAAAAGATCTATACTGATACTACAATAAACTAAAGATTTCTATTTTGCTGTATACTTCTATGCCAATCTATAATATGTTCTTTCCTATAGTAATAAACAACATCTTAGTATCCTGTATGGTTTATAACTTATAATAAGACTCTTATATGAATCCTATGGAAATTCAATATTACAGATCTTTTTCATAAGGTTCATTTCTTTGTTACTGCACTAAAAACAAAAACATCAGTTTCACGACACTGATGAATATCATGTTCTCCTGAGAATCAATACATCGATCGATCAGTATTGTTAGTCAGAGACATTGTCTCCAAACCGCGCTGCACGTAGTTTGCGTAGTGAGCTGCTAAACCAGGATGACCAGCTGACCAGCTGACCAGCTGGCTGAAGGAGTCCAGCATTTCTCCCAGTCGGTTTGAAATCATTTGCTGCTGGATAAAGATGAAAACCCTGAAAACCGCCATCAGTGGACTACAACAGAGGAAACAGTATAACAGGAATTCCGTAATACGTCGTAAACAACGCATATTAAGCGGAGCTGAAGTTGGCTTCCTATTCAAATTTTCCCTTCCACCTTAAACGGAACAGCAGTTACATTCTGGCGCCTCATGGGAATTTAACCGCCGCTCTGTTTAAGGTGGAACGGGAATATTCGAATAATAAGCCAACTTCAGCTCCGTGCACATCAACCTCTCATTTGACCATGTATCTCCATCTATCTGTGGTTAGTACATCCGCTAACAAGGCGTCAAATCGAGGTAGTCTTGCTCGTTTGCAGAAGACTGACAAGATGTAGACTATAATCCATGATCTGAGAAAACAACAGATGAAATATGGAACAAAAGAGTCCGCGGCATATTAATATTAGCTGGCTACGATGTTGCTGCATCCGTTGATCTGTGGATGGATCTGGGGCGAAATAAATGGGCGGGTCTTTTTTGTTCGCACCAACTTCCACACAAAAATGCACAAAGTTTGCCAAATCTTACCTTTCGAGAGAGAAATGCCGTGTCTTTCACAGGACTCCGCTGCATTTATGGGCAGAATTCATTCGTCCATATCTGACAACTAACGACGGTTAGCTAGTTAGCATAATGTGTTTATGTTCTGTATGTTCTGGGCAGAAAAAAGAGGAACCTGAGATTCGCTGTTTCTCTTGCAAATACAAAAAAAACGCAACCAAAGATTCCAACATGAATCACGAAAACACTTGAAAGCATACGATAAAGCAAATGCAAATAATCTGCAAGTTAAAGTGTACTCGGAGAGAAGTTGTGTAAAGGAAGCTGATCTGAACCCGCAGCAGTGTTTTTGATTTGAGCTGCAGGCTCCGCCCACTCGACGTCACTCACTGGTAAATGTGTTAGTAGGTCGAATATCCGGGCACTGCTGAACAAAATGGCTGCACTGAGGCTGTTTGTTATTTCTGTGTGTTTTTATTTATTTATTTAATCTTCATTATGCAGCTGTGGAGAGTGATATATATATATATATATATATATATATATATATATATCATCATATATATATATATATCAATCATATATATATATCAATCATATATATATATATATATATATATATATATATATATATATATATATATCACTCTCCACAGCTGCATAATGAAGATTAAATATAAATACAATATTCAAATACTACAAATATTCTTTTTTTTTTTCCAGTCGTGCCTGTTTGGGTGGGTTTACACAATAAAATCTCCAGTGCCGGATTAGCACCCACAGTCCAGACACAAATGGAAACCTAAGAGTGCAGCCATGTTAAAATTAACACTGCAGATGTTAATTTAGAACTGTAGATATCAGCACTGTGAGACATAACACTGTAGATGGGCCATTATCTAGATAGAGTGGTATTTGGAATGGAAACAAACTAAAAAATACAAATTTGTGGGATATATTTCAAGATGATCTGATAGCTTGATGGGCTTGATGCAATATTTATTAGATATTTTACTGAAGAAAATGATTTCAGCATTTACGTCACTCGTGTTTTAAACACTGAAAGTGTTGATGAAAAATGAAATGTCTGTTATTGAAAATTTCCTTGGGAGTACACTGACGGAAAAGACATATAGATTTAATCATTTTCACTGTTTGGTCAAAAAGCTGTGTAACAAACCCCTGATAGCAAGATGATAGTGGACCACTGTCGGCTCGCTAATGGCAAAGCTGGCAGTCCACTGGTGTTTTGCTCAGCGTTTTCCGGGGGGCCCATCGGCAGTCAAGCAGAGTATTAGACAAAATTCCAGTTATCATCACTCATTTTTCCCTAACAGTCCAATTTACTGATTTTTCCTTCTTTGCTTTCTTTAGTTATATTTTCTTTAGCTATCATTTTAGTAAATCATTTTCTCAGTCATTTATAATATTTGTCTAAGTTTATTTTCTAAAATAAAAGTCTCTGTGTATCTGTTTGAGGAGATTAAAAACTAGTTAAAGCTTGTATGCAGGACAGTAATCTGGGTGGTCTGAGGGTGGACCAGCAATGGCAAACAGTCAGCGGGGTGCCGACCTTATCAATCCAGATGACCGATATATGCTTGCTATCTGGGACATGCAGTATTTAATTGCGTTCATAGGGTATCTTTGTTGTTGTTGTGTCTCATTCATTAAAATGACAGTCTTTGTAGGGAAATATAAAACATATATCAGTATAAATTTGGCAAAGCTATAAGACAGATCCAATTAATTTTTCGCTTACATACCCTTCAGACAGATTATTATCAAAAAGAGGAAATACACTATATGGCCAAAAGTGTGTGGACACCTGACCATCACACATATATGAGTTTATTGGACATCCATCCAAAATCATAGGCATTAATATGGAGATGCCCCCCCTGTGGCTAAACAGCCTCCATTTTTCTAGGGGGGCTTTCCATAAGATTTTGGAGTGTGTCTGTTGTAATCTGTGCTCAATTAGTCCAAAGAGCATTCACAAGGTCACACCTATGTTGCATAAGAAGGCCTGGCACATAATCGATGTTCCAGTTCATCTTAAAGGTGAGTTGAGGTCAGTTGAGTTGAGGTCAGGGCTCTGTGCAGGCCATTGGAGTTCCTCCACGCCTAAGTCATAAAATCATGTCTTTATGGACCTTGCTTTGTCCACAGGGGCACTGTCATGCTGGAATAGGAAAGAGCAACAAAACTTCAAACCATTCCAGCCGACACTTGCCATTGACAGACACTTCCATTTCACAACAATAGCCTTTACAGTTCACAGGGGCGGATCTAGCAGGACAGAAATTTCACAAACTGACTTGTGGCAAAGGTGGCATCCTATGACAGTGCCACATTCACTGAGCTTTTCAGTCTGACCTGTTCTACTACATGATCATCAATGAAGATGGCATGGTGATTCGCTTAATTTTATCCACCTGCTACCAATGGGTGTGGCTTAAACACCTAAATTGAATAAGTAGGCGGGGTGTCCACATACTTTTAGCTGTATAGTGTGTCTCAATACAGAATCGTTACACCAGTTACATTGTGTAACACCAACACAGAACTGTAACACCAATGACACTGTCTAACCAACACAGAACTGTTACATTAGTGACACTGTTCAACACCAACACAGAACTGTACACCAGTGATGGTACAACTGCTTATTTGAAACACAAATCTTTTTAACCACAACTGGAATATTATTAGAAGATCAAATGCCTATCAAAGATGTCCAGCATACTGATGTATATTCATCAGTTTCACAGTTGAATATACATATACATGTTTCGATCTGGTTGCAGGACAGCCTTACTGAGATTAGACAGTAAAAAACTATGTAAGTAATGCATTTATGTATTACTAAACATCTGAATATAGACAAAAAACTGAACGCATATCTTGTAATTTAAAGCATGTTTTGACTACTTCAACACCGTCTTCAGTGTTATCAGATCCCGTTTTTAGTTTATTAGAACAACGTCCATCGTTTAATGAAGGGTCTTTTTGAAGGCTTAGGTAAAGGTAAGGGTGTTATGGTCCTCTCAAACTGAGCTTTTCCTCGTTACTCCCAATCACCAATCAGATTGTTTTGTGTCTCATGACCTCTAGTGGCCGAATCAAAGAATTACAACTTTAATCAAACCTCTCTCTCAAAGAATGACTTTGTTTACATCTAAGCCATTTAATTATGGGAAATTTTGAAAGCATGGTGGAATTCCCCTTTAACACACTGCAAGAGTAAAGAATTCTGTGTAAAACTAAGATCCCACATCGTAATTGTCTAGATCTTCTGATATACATTTTTATGCATTTTAACATTTAGTCGATGACCTCTAGTGGCCGAATTAAAGAATTACAACTTATTTAAAACGCCTGCGCGAGTCTAACCGCTCATTTATCTGGACAACAAAAGTCAACGCTCTTGCTGTGTTTATATTGTTGAGCCAATGATAAAGACATAAAATAACTTTTTATTCCCATCGCTTTCATTTTCTTTCATTTTAACTTATTTTTTTCCACAAAAAGGCAAACTTGATATTTTATTATTTATTTATTTATTTATTTATTACAGAAGAGGCTAGCTTGCTAGTGAGCAGAGCTGCATCGGTCACGCATCCCTCTCCCTCCTTCATTTTCTCTCTCTCTCTCTCTCTCTCTCTCTCTCTCTCTCTCTCTCTCTCTCTCTCTCTGACTCTGTCTCTCTTTCTCATGTGCAGACGGATCGCTGGCGTGTTTTAGCATCATGACGTCGGAGAAAAGTGAGTGAAAACTTTTATTTATCTTCTGGTGTTTTATTGTACAACTTGATGTCCTTTATTTCAGAAACAGCGTTAGTAAATGTAGCTCTAGCTGAGTGATGGCTGAAGAGAAAGAGAGGGAGAAAGAGAGAGAGACAGAGAGAGGCTCTTCAGTTTGCTGAAGATTTATGTATAGAATTTAAATCGATAAATATTCAGTCGGATGTTGGTCACATTTCCCAGATGTTGATGCTGATCTGTAAACGAGATTTACATTCAACGAATAAAATGTCTGCATGTTTCAGTGAGATGTAAACGTAAAAGTCATTCAGAGTGTTTGATGTAAAGTGGCTCAGTGTGGAGAAACTTACTGATTTGTTGACAGTGGTGGTGACAGGAACCAGGGGTCACAATGTCTACAACACAAATATGGCCATTTTATTTATTTTCTAAAACATCCAGTGGACCTATACATATCCTTCGAGTTTTATATGGAATGATAAAAATGGTAAAATGGTGGCAAAGTTTTCTTTGGGGACTATTTTCCCTTAGAACACCCTGCATGTACCTCTCCACCATGAAAATAGGCCAAAATCTGATCTTAAAACTATCAGCAACAATGTCTCTGACACCAGGCAGCATATTCTCTTCAGACGTTGGTTGTTATCAGCACCAATGTGAACAATTCTGACTCGACTTCACATCAAACCTCTCTCTCAAAGAATGACTTTGTTTACATCTAAACCATTTAATTATGGGAAATTTTGAAAGCATGGTGGAATTCCCCTTTAACACACTGCAAGAGTGAAGAATTCTGTGTAAAACTAAGATCCCACATCATAGTTGTCTAGATCTTCTGATATACATTTTTATGCATTTTAACATTTAGTCGATGCATATAGTTTACATGAATAATTACATGAATAATTAAGTTTTTATAGTTTACTGAATAATTAACTATATAAATAATTGTATGAAATTGACCAGTAGAGGGCTAGGGAGGATGTATGTATCTATATACAGTGGCCCTGAAAAATATACGGACACTAGTATTGATAAACTGTAATGAATTTTTAATTTACTTCATAAAACATTTAACAAATGCACAACATGTGTTCACTGATGGAATCATGAACTCAGAAGTGCATAAAGGCACTTTGGATGCAAACCTGCTGAGGCCTCTACAGAAACTGTTTAAACTGCCTTTTGAAAGTTCCCATATCCTATATTTGTCTTGTATTTTTTTTCTTTGAAGCCCAATTATAACATTTGTGTGGTTTTATGTACCAAAAATGGCCATAATTCATTTAACATGACCATTTTCCAAGCTCTCTTTATCCCTAACAATTAAACTGGCTGTTTTTATTAATGTGCCTTTAAGACTATTATAAGATAAACACTCCTTATAACTTCAGCCTGAGTGGGTGGAGCTAAACTGCTGTAGACCAAATAGGAGAATATATCACTGATGTCAGATCAAAACCTTGTATATCCAAAATAGTACATTAAAACATTCTTTACTTTCAGTGTAAGCTAATGCAAAGAGATTTAGTTCGGAGTAACCTTGGTTGATTTCTATTTGTATATTCATCATGGAATTTTTACACAACATAAAGAGCTGTGGGTATTTTTGAATTTTGCCAAAAACAAGGTTTTGTTCAGGCAGCGGTGATATGTAAATGAGCTGGTTCTTTTGACATCACAGAAACAGTGAATTCAAAACAGGCTGTTTTTGCTCAGTTTCTATATATGGATTGCATGGACTGGGTAGTTAACAGTACGTTTTGAAACCTTAACAATGCTTACAAATTATTTCAGAATCCTGTATTTCAAAAAGTCAGGCTTTGGTTTACCATGATATGGGCCCTTTAAAATAAATGCCACATTTTCTTTCATAACATATTGAACCTATGGCACAAATGTCCACATACTTTCTGAGGCCACCATTTGTCTCTAGCTGTGTCTGTTTGTGGTCTTAATTGTATGTGATTTGTTCAGGGTGTCTGTGCGTGTGGACTTGAGGATGAGCTGCAGGAGAAAACAGCTCGAGCCCTCACGGAAACCCCCCAGAGAAAACATACTTCTGCTCAGAGTCATGTTTTTGGACGACAGTGAGCACACGTTTGAAATGGAGGTGAGAGGAAAGGCAGCTCTGAAATCAGCCTCTGGTTTTGTGTCCGTGTGATGCAGCGTTGACCCCAAAGTGGAGTTATTTGCAGACGGTGTGTCAGAGTCTCTGAGCGCTTCAGTAAAGCGTGTGTTTGCTGTATGACTCCATTATTCTCCCCTCTTCACTGCGCTGGACTTACATGCTGAGGGGCATTTAGTGCATCTAGAGCAGGGCACCGAACAATAAGCCAACAAAGTGCAGGAAGGAGGGGGCTTTCTGCTGACTGACCAATAATGGCACAGAGCAAAGGAGTTTAGCACTGAGGATATTAAAAAGAGGGGAAGTTTTGCAGTGAGGCTGAGCTTTCTCTGCCTCCTGGGGCTCTAATGTACAGGCCCCATTCTGTCGCCCTTACTCTTTTCCCCCTCCTCCTTAAGTTCATCATACTCACCACTTCTCAGTAATCAGATTTAAAGAGGGAACTCCTCTGATTTTTCACAATGACTGCATAATTAAATGGTTAAGATATAAGCAGTCATTCAGAGTGGTTTGATGTGAAATGCTCTGTCCTAGAGAAACTCGACGTTCTAGGGAAAAAGTCAGAATTGTTCACAGTGGTGGTGATAGGAACCAGACGTCTGAACCTCCCTCACAAAGTTGTTACATAAAATAGTTATACATACACTGCCTGATGTCTAAGATGTCTGTTTTGAGAAAGGTTTGGCCTAAAAATTCTTTTTAAATCCTATAAATTCATAGTGGAGAGGTATATGTAGGATGTTATACAGCAAAACTGTCCCCAAAGAATTTTGTTTTTACTCAACATTACATATAAAAGAAAAAAGACACATGTAGGTTCACTGGTGGTTCAGGATAGTAAATGTAATGGCTACATTGGCGTTACAGACATTTCAATTACCACTGTAAAGAAACGTGAGTCAGTACGTTTCTCTAAAATTAAGCATTTCACATAAAGCCCTTGAATGACTTTGTTTACAACTCAAACACTGCAAAAATGCAGAGATTTTGAAAAATAGGTGGACTTTAATCCCCTTTAATCTCAGGATTGGTAAGACATGAAATAAACAGTAAGCACTGAATACACAGCAGGAGGTGACACTTCAGCAGCTGCCCACTGGCTTCTGTAATGAGTATGTTTTGAGTCATTGGGTTTTCTAGTCTTTTCTTTTGTATAGAAAAATACCTAAAATATTCTCTGTGTTAATCGATCATATGTTAAAGAGGCAGCAGATGGATAGTTGGTTAAAAACGCTGTATTCCTTTAATGGAGATGTGATGTCTACATAAACAGTTAATTACCAGTGTTGATGCCATCATTAGGGTGGCCAATATGACAAGATTTATCATTATTGTGATAATTTACATCACATTGTGTCATCATATGGTTTCTGAGTGCACTGGTGTAAATTCAGGGGGGCATGTCCTCTCCACTTTTAGAAAATTTGCTGGGTCTGGGGATGGTTGATGGAAAGTACATACGGTTGTTTTCAAATAGCTCCAATCAAACCACATGTTTTCCTGATTTACTAAGTGAAAATAAGTTATCACATCCCCTACAGAGAACACACTTAAATATGGCTTTTTTATGCAAATTTGAGTGCAGAATTTCTATTTATTTCCTGAGTTTAACATACATACATACATACATACATCATCTAAACCGCTTATCCTTCTGGGTCGCGGTGGGGTGCTGGAGCCTATCCCAGCTGTCATTGGGCGGAAGGCAGGATACACCCTGGACAGGTCGCCAGTCCATCGCAGGGCAGACAGACATACATATACAATCACACACACATTCACACCTAGGGGCAATTTCAGCATTTCCAATTGGCCTGACTGCATGTCTTTGGACCGTGGGAGGAAACCGGAGAACCCGGAGGAAACCCACACAGACACGGGGAGAACATGCAAACTCCACACAGAGAGGACCCCGGTCGCCCGGCCGGGAATCGAACCCAGGCCCTTCTTGCTGTGAGGCGACAGCGCTACCCACTGCATCACCGTGCCGCCCTTGAGTTTAACGTATTTAAAAAAAAAAAAACATAACATATAAAATGTGCTATAACTTTTGCACAGGTCACATTTTGTTTTATTTTTTCCCAATATGTAAAATTTAGCAAATAAGTCATTATGCATTAAAATGTGCAGCACTCTGCAATCTGCCACCTGAAGAACGCTTTCATGATGCAAAGAACCCTTTGATCATTGTACTTTGTTTACATTTGAATTGCTGCATGTAAGCTTTAGCCTCCTGACGTTAGCCCGTTAGTATATCATGGATAATGACAGTACATAGAGAACACTGACCAACTGCATGATTCATTACAAAGAGATCATATTTAGTCCTGTTTACTGTGATTCAGTTAACGTAATTTTTTAAAAGGAATTTTAAAACGGCACTAATGAAAGTATTGTGATGTTATATTTGGATCATATTGACCACCCCTAGTAACCGTTATTATTCTCAGTTGTGGAAAAAAGTAAAAATAAGGAAAACAGATTCAGCTGTCATGCATGTTGCACCAAATCCCTAGAGGAACATTTTTTATTAGTTAATTAATCTGTACTTGTATATGGAGAGGGTTAGCTAACAAAATAGACCTATTTTTTCACTCTATTAGCATGTTAGAGGTACCATGCTAACATATATATATATATATATATATATATAGCAAAATGTACTTGGGAATGACTTCTTCAACAAAGTGTGTGGACATCTTAAGCTTTTAGAAAAAGAATATTTTGGGCTTGAATTCCGTCACCATTGCGGCAGTTACGTAAGTTGACTTGACAGTTATGAAGAAGGCACTTATGTACTGTAAATTGTTGTTTAAAAAAGATTTTTTGTTACTGATCAATATGATGATTTCAAATTACATGGCAGTTTTGAATATAAATGTGGGTCAAGTCAAATGCCCTGTATTTTGTGTGTGTATGTATATAGGTATGGCTGGAACTGCTGAAGCCTCTTACAAAACAAATTAAACGTGAGTTAATACTATTTTCTCAAGCCAGTTGAATAATTTATGTCATAACTAATTTGTTGTATGAGTTCAGTAGAAGAGGACAGGGTGGAATATACTGGTGTGCTATTGTCATGATATTTCTATTGACCTCTTCTTTCTCTAACACAGACACAAGTGACCTAACATTCCACTTCATAGTGAAGTTCTATCCTCCAGACCCAGGTCAGCTTCAGAAAGAGCTAACCAGGTACTTCTGCTCACTGTATTACCTCTTATAGTACAGTAATATAATAGTACATATTTTTCTACAACATTATATAGAGACACTTAGTGACTCAGATTCCTTTAAAGTGCTGGTGATGGGAACCAGGGGTCACAATGTCTACAACACAAATATAGCCATTTTATTTACTCTCCAAATGACCTGTGAACCTAAACGTGTCTTCTGAGTTTTTATATGTAATGTTGATGATGGCAAAACAGTGGTAAATAAGTTTTCCTTCTATTTTGCCTCCCAGTGCCCTGCATGTATCTCTCTACCATGAATGAGCTAAAAAATATATATGTTTTGGCCAAAACCATCTCAAAACTATTGTGAGAGAATGTTAGAGGCATCAGGCAGTGAATTATAACCATGTCATGTAATAGCTTTTGTGATGTAGCTTTTAGAGGCATTAAATGCTTCAGACGTCTGGTTCCTATCACCACCACTGTAGACAACTTTTACTTGGTAAGTTTCTCTACAACAGACTATTTCACACCAAACCACTCTGAATGACTCTGTTTACATCTTAACCATTTAGATATGCAGAAATGTAGAAAAACTGATGGAATTAGCTTTTAAAAAGTTTAATAAAATCCTGAAACCACATACACCGATCAGGCGTAACATTATGACCACCTCCTTGTTTCTACGCTCATTTTCCATTTTATCAGCTCCGCTTACTATATAGGTGCACTTTGTAGTTCTACAATTACAGACTGTAGTCCATCTGTTTCTCTGCATACTTTGTTAGACCCTTTTACCCTGTTCTTCAGTGGTCAGGACCCCCATGGAGCCTCACAGAGCAGGTACTATTTGGGTGGTGGATCATTCTCAGCACTGCAGTAACACTGATGTGGTGGTGGTGTGTTAGTGTGTGTTGCGCTGGTCTGAGTGGATCAGACACAGCAGTGCTGCTGGAGTTTTTAAACACCTCAGTGTCACTGCTGGACTGAGAAGAGTCCATTAGCCAAAAATATCCAGCCAACAGCGTCCTGTGACCACTGATGAAGGACTAGAGGATGACCAACATAAACAGTGTAGCAGCAGATGAGCTTGTCTCTGACATCTACAAGGTGGACTGACAAGGTAGGAGTGTCTAATAGAGTGGACAGTGAGTGGACACAGTGTTTAAAAACTCCAGCAGCACTGCTGTGTCTGATCCACTCATACCAGCACAACACACACTAACACACCACCACCACATCAGTGTTACTGCAGTGCTGAGAATGATCCACCACCCAAATAGTATCTGCTCTATGAGGGTCCATGGGGGTCCTGACCACTGAAGAACAGGGTAAAAGGGGGCTAACAAAGTATGCAGAGAAACAGATGGACTACAGTCTGTAATTGTAGAACATTAGCTGCTGGGCTAGTGAACACAGAGGCATGTCAATATAGGTGTATTGCAGTGTTTTTATATCTGATATAGCACTATCACAGCAAATTGACATTAAAGTGGCATTAAAATGTCCTAAAATATCTTAAATTTAACCTGCAAGCAGCCTGCAAAACACATCTACTTTCATACAGTACATTCAGAACACTCCTGACTCCTCCTCTCTTGCAGGTATCTTTTTGCGCTCCAGATCAAACAGGATCTGTCTAATGGCAGTCTGACCTGTAATGACAACAGCACCGCCCTGCTGGTCTCCCATCTTCTACAGGGTATGTACAGATGAGTGACAAATTACAGGGAAAGTGTCTTAGCACCACAAGCTGCCAGAACAGCTTCAGTGTGCCTTGGTATAGATTCTAGAAGTCTCTGGAACTGTAATGGAGGGATGGAGCACAATCCTTCCAGAAGGTATTCCCTCAGTTGGTGTTTAGATAATGCTAATGGAGAGCACTGTCTAACACAGGGGGGCACAACTCTGGTCCTGGAGGGCTGGTGTCCAGTACAGTTTAGAAGTTTCCTTACTCAAACATACCCACTAAACCTGGCGATTAACAGATGAGTCTAATGAGGTGTGTTTGAGCAGGTAAATCACCAAACTGTGCTGGACACTGGCCCTCCAGGACTGGAGTTGCCCACCCCTGGTCTAACATATCAGTCCAAAATCTTCCACAGGTGTTCAACAGTTTTGAAATTTGGTGACTGTGAAGGTCTACTATTGTGGTTCTGGTATGTGATGGGAAATGGACACAGGTACTTTACCAGAGTACTGGTTCAGATTTGTAACCGTATTGTGCTGTACTGTACCCTCTCACTGTAGGAGTCAAGCCATGAGGCCTGTACCGTTCTCTTGGTGTACACAGCACATGCATTATCTGACCACATCACTCTTGTCCACATCTCCGTAGAACAGATTTTTTGCACCTTTAAACTCTCAAAAGTGCATTTGTCTTTGTAGTGAGGGGTTTATGCACTACAAACCCACTATAATAATCCTCTTAGTGTAGTTGTGGATGGACTGTTTTTGAATCAAATACTCACTACACAATCCACTCAGTTCATAAATGGTTTGAATTCACTGTTTTTGTGATGTCACAAAAAACAACACATTTACATATATCCACTTACTCACCTACAGTAGTTTAGCTCCACTCGTTCACGTTGAAGTTATCAGGAGTGTTGGGCTGCTTTATAAATAAGGCATAGTACAGGTCAGCCAATCATAACAGAGTTCATTTACATATCATCACAGCATTAAATAGACTATTCAATTCTAAGGGATAAAGAAAGGTTGGCAAATGGTCATGTTAAACTGAATTATGCATTTTTGGCACATAAAACAACATCAGAAGTGGACCTAACTCTAAGCATACAATAAAAAGTGCACAATGTGGGTCCTCGAAATAGCATTACAGGAGACAAACAAGACACAACGTGAATTTTAGTCTTTGAGTCATTGTGTTCTGTTTGCAGTTTGTCAGAGGTGTCATGGATTGTGTGACACAAGTGAGAATTCTAAGTGTGAATTGTAGGTTGGTAGGCGTTTTGGTGAGGGAGCTGCAGACGGCAGAGGAAAAAAACTTTAGCAGCATTGGGAAGCGATATCTTGTTTCTGCAAGAAGAGCTTTGTTTGAACCTGTGTAACTAAAATGGATTTTTTCTCCCATAGCTGAGATTGGGGATTACGTAGAGGAGCTGGATATGCAGCACTTAGAGAATAAGAAATATATTCCCAACCAGGAGTGCCTCCATAAGAAGATCATGCGCTTTCATAAGAGACACAGGTAGTATCTTGAAATGTACCACCCAGTAATGATGCAAGACTTGAGTGATGACTGAGTTGAAAATATACATTTTGATTAAAATGAAGACAGATTATTTCTTTAATAGTTAATGTTTATCACTGATGCCACAATATGTACCCAAATACACCGATCAGGCATAACATTATATCCTTGTTTCTACGCTCATTGTCCATTTTATCAGCTCCACTTACTATATAGGTGCACTTTGTAGTTCTACAGTTACAGACTGTAGTCCATCTGTTTCTCTGCATACTTTGTTAGCCCCCTTTTACCCTGTTCTTCAGTGGTCAGGACCTCCATGGAGCCTCACAGAGCAGGTATTATTTGGGTGGTGGATCATTCTCAGCACTGCAGTAACACTGATGTGGTGGTGGTGTGTTAGTGTGTGTTGTGCTGGTATGAGTAGATCAGACACAGCAGTGCTGCTGGAGTTTTTAAACACCTCAGTGTCACTGCTGGACTGAGAATAGTCCACCAACCAAAATATCCAGCCAACAGCGTCCTGTGGGCAGCGTCCTGTGACCACTGATGAAGGACTAGAGGATGACCAACACAAACTGTGCAGCAGCAGATGAGCTATCGTCTCTGACTTTACATCTACAAGGTGGACTGACAAGGTAGGAGTGTCTAATAGAGTGGACAGTGGGTGGACACAGTGTTTAAAAACTCCAGCAGCACTGCTGTGTCTGATCCACTCGTACCAGCACAACATACACTAGCACACCACCACCCCGTCCATGTTATTGATATCAACTGGTGTCAGCTGTCATAAAGGCTGATACTCCACCTGGACAAGCACACCACCAATATGAGTCCTTGGGTAAGACTGCTAAAGCTACATTCGCCCACATCTGTAACGTGACAGATAAAGTTAACAAAAACAATCTTCACTGTTATGTTATTGTCTGTGAGATTTGCAACTTATATTTATTAGATTTTTAGCAATGACATCTGCCTCAGTCATAAAATCTAGCCAAAATGAAAAATGCACTTGCAATAGTTTTGCATTGACTTGCAAAAATGTAGCATTCCCACACAAATGTCTTGTGTTTTCTTGCAATTATTACGGGGGAATGCAAAACATTTGTGAGGGATTGTAAAATTATTGTGAGGAAATGTAAAACATTTTTAAAGGAACGTAAAATTACTGCGAGGGAATGCAACAGTTTTTTTAACCACAGTGCCTTAGAGGCTCCGCACTGTGGGGCTTGCATGTTTTTCCTTTCAAGCCCCACAGTGCCTAATTTGTTTTCAGTTTTCTTCTTGAGATCTGCTCTGATTTATATTATTATCAGAACATAATGGACATTGTTTGAGATAACGTTCGTTATGTTGTGATAGAGGCATAAATATCTTGAGAAAACAACATTCATGGTATTGTTAATGATATAAATAATTTGAGATCTTGAGAAAGCAAATGAAAATAACTCATTATCATGGAAAAACAGATAAAAAACAAATACCAGTTAACTTATTAAATGTTGTTTTAGGCCAGAGTGCCCCTTTACCTTCACTGACAATCCTTAGGCCACCTTATAGCAACCTTTGTTCTAATATATGGCCTTTTAGGACTTCTGTAGAAAAACATACCAGTGAACTTATTAAATGCTAGTTTTAGGCCATAATGCCCATTTAACTTCACTGACAGTCCTCAGGGCACCTTATAACAACCTTTGCTCTACTAAAAACACCTTACCTGTTCTCTGTCTATACTAGAGGTCAGACCCCAGCAGAGGCTGATTTTCAGTTGCTGGAAGTGGCCCGTAAATTAGACATGTACGGTATCCGCCCTCAAGCAGCCAGCGATGGAGAGGGAATGAGAATCAACCTGGCTGTGACTCATTCTGGTGTGCTGGTGTTTCAGGTATATATACATTTTAATGGACTTCTCAAGTCATACTAAATATGAATATCTGTTTATAATTGCTTTTGGCTGGAAGGTGGAGCCGTTCTCAGAGCCATAAATTTAGCAATAATAGCCTTTGAGATTTGTATTTGAAATCCAACCTGGGAAAAGGCTAGAGTGTTTTGGCTGAATTCCAACTTTCTGTTGCAAGTCTCAGTTAACATCTGTTGACTGATTTTCTTCTGTTCTCAGGGGAACACCAAAATTAATACCTTCAGCTGGGCCAATATCCGCAAACTGAGCTTCAAGAGGAAGAACTTTTTGATAAAACTTTATGCAAAGATTGTGGTAATGGTTTTACCTTTCTTCAATAATATTACTGGGCTTATTCTACTTTTTTAAGATGCTATACAGGCTGTAGTCGGCTCAGTAAGCATTTAAATATTGTTATTCTTAAAGTCTGGGCTAATGTTTTGGCTCAGAGTTTGTGTGTGGTTTGCCCAGCCTTCCCATAAGGACACACTGGAGTTTTCCATGGCCAGTCGAGACGTGTGTAAAGCCTTCTGGAAGATGTGCGTGGAGTACCATGCTTTCTTCCGCCTGTCAGAGGAGCCTAAGGCTCGCTACAAGTCTCTCCTCTACAGCAAGGGCTCCTGCTTCAGATACAGGTAAGACTGGAGAACAGTACAGTTCTAGGTCAATATTTTCTTAATTGCTTTTCACTCCAAGAGCATCTTTTGAAAATTCCACTCATTCATCTATGCATCCGCCCATCAAGGCATCCAATCAAACAGTGAACTTAAAAATGCAAATGAAAATCTAGGTTAATTGTTTCTGTCAATCCTAAACCGGACAGGAAGTTGTTCCCAACTGATTAATCTAACAGCTAATCCCAATTCCACTTCCAGTGGCAGAACTCAGAAGCAGCTGTTGGACTGTGTGAGAAAAGGAGAGAGAAGGAACCTGCCTTTTGAGAGGTGAGCTATGACTGTATGGAAGCACTATTCCAAATGCCTTCTACCTACAACAGGCCACTGTATATCTGTAATGGTCATTCTGGTGTTCTTATTCAGGAAATACTGCAAGGCTTATTGTGACGCAAGACAATGCAGATCCTCTCCTGACCTCCTCACCGATGCCTCTAAGCAGGTACTTTAAGATGCTTTTATTAGAAGAATTTGTTAACAAGATGTCAGTAGTGTTCAAATTCATTTTAGGGAGCTAGACTTTGCACTATGTAAAATTGCTCTGCTAAAATTGAAAGAAGTAACACCACTTACATACTCAGAAGACGTCTTTCACAAAGTTTTGACTGAGTTCACTTTGAAAATACTTTCAACACGCTCACAATCATTAGATTCATCTGCTCGAGGCGGGTCTGAAACACAGCTGATGTTACAAAATGTTCTTCTGCTCGTTGCCTGCAGTTACACATTTCCACCAGAGAAGTCTGCAAATCCCCAAATCTTACATCAGCTTTAAATCAAATCTATATGAGGTTAGTTTATCAAACGGTTATTAGCAAAAAATGAAAGTGTGTTAAAAACCTCTAAAAGTAAGCTTCTTGAATAATATATATTTCAGATAGACCAGGGGTCATCAATCCTGTCCAAAAAGGCACAGTATGGCTGTAGGTTTTCACTCCAGAGAATGAGGGGCATCCGTCATACAACAAATCAACTGTTTGAAGACTGAGACCATCTTAGTAAAGAAGTGGAATCAGGTGTGCTTCTGCTTCGTAGGATTGAAAACCTACAGCCATAATGGCCCACTGTGGATAAGATTGGTGATCCCTGGTTTAGACCTATAATGTGGTATTCTCCAGCGATATGATGTTGATCTGCAAGCACTTCATAAGAGAATTGGAGTACATTGGGTGAAAACAAATGCACATATATCAAAGAAATGTTCAAGCCCAGAGTTAAAATCTTCCTTAATGGGATCAATTAAGCTACATCCCTTAGAAACTAAGTGAAGGTGTATGTTTAGATCTTTGTTCCCAATCCTGGTCCTGAAGTACTTCTCCCTGCATAGGAGTGCATGACACCCACTTTAACTCAGGAAGATCTTGTTAACGATGTGGATTAGGTAGAGGAAGAACGCCAGGATTGGGTACCACTGGTTTAGATTCTTGTGTTCTTCATTGCAGGCCTATGAACAGTCTTGTGGATTCCCCCATGCTGGCTGCACTCAGGCTGGCAAACGAAGCCAATCGGCTACAGAGGTTCTCTTCTCTTCTGAAGTTGAGCGCCCACAGGCTCGGATTACGCAGCCCTCCGCCTTCGCCCAGTCCCGCTCGTCTTCCATCTCCGCTGCTGAACCAGGACCATCTAGCGCCCTGCAGGCTCCCCAGAGTCTTCCAGGATTTCTCGGGGAAGACTGGAGAACCCGAAGCAGGTTTACCGGTGAGACCACCCTGCCCCAACGGGGTCGCCTCCTGGCTAATGCTCAGCAGTTGGTGCTGCTCTACCCCAACCCTCACCACCCGCACACTTGCTTGGGCCTACACCCTGTTTTTCCTGTGTATCCACTCAGTTCTTCTTTGTCTCTGGACCACCCTGGATCTCCACTCTTGCTGTCTCGCTGTGGTCACGTGGCCCACTGCATCCAACCGCCAATGCAGGCTTGCTTCCTTGATGATGTCATAAGATCCTCTAGCTTCTCCGGACCCTCGACCTTGTCCCCGGCTGTGATGAGGCGGCAGAGGCAACGGTATGGTGGGTTAGGTCTGGGATTTGGTCTGCCCCATGGTCTGGGAATGGCACCAGGGCTGTATATAACAACTGCAGTGGCTGACTGTGGAGGCAGAGGTGGCCTGGACTTGGGCCAGGAAGAGCTGGGCCACTTCAGTGATGATTCCAGCTACCAAACAGGCTTGCCACGCCGCTCGCTAAGTCAGTCAGACATGAAGCTACTAAGGCAGTCGGCCAGTGGTCCCCCTGCTGCTGAGTTCAGACCACTAGGGCACTACCCACATCTTTCCCGGAGGCAGGGTCCAGCACGGCCCACTCATTTGCCTCTGCAGTCGTCCATCCTACCCGAGAGGTCGGCTGGAGGAAGTAAGGCAGAGCCGAGTCAAAGTGACTCAGACTCTGATGCTGTGTGTTCATACCTCTGTCCTGGCCTGGACAGGATAGTGCGTTCGGTGCCATTGGCCCGCATGCGTATCTCGTCTGGCAGCCTGCAGCTAGATGAGGAGGATGAGAACTCGCTCAACACAAACGAAAGAAAAGAAGTCTCCTCAGTAATGGCACCCAAACACAAGTCCTGAGACAGCCTAGTGCAATATGTCATCTGAAACATGGAAGTAGAATTTGGGAATCTCAGCAAGACTTGTGCAAATGGTGCGTTCAGACAGTTGGCCGGAAGTCGTAAAATTTAGAAAATTGTCACGTCACCAAATTGTGGCGGTTAATGATTGACAGGTAAAGTGGTAATCAAGTGAACAATCCATAAATTTACTGACTTGGCCCTGTGCAAGCTTGTTGATACATCAAAACTTGTAAACTAAGATAACATGGAATTTCCAACTTCAGTCGGTTGAGTGCAACTTCACTGCGATAAACTCCGAAATTTACAAGTGTACAAAGACCATCCAAAATGTACCATATATTTTGTGTAATTCAGTACCCTCAGTGTTGAAAACCACCTTCATCTATTCGGTTTCCCATTCAGGTCATGCTTTGGATCAAGGTTAATCATACATAAATAACTACTAGCTGGGAAAATTTCTCAATTATTGTTTTAACTATTCACATTCTTCACATGTACTGAGGCTGTATTTACTGTTGGCCTAGTTTCAACCTGCAACATACATTTTACATGTGGTATGTTTTTATAATCCATCATAAAGGGCTCAGATTAATATAAGATTAAAAGTGATATTCAAGGGCATGTCAGCAGTAAGTGAATCATCACATACCTTTTAGCAGTATTACTGGTAATTTACTTTATTTCACAATGTAGAAATGGAAAAAAAGAAACATTTTGGTATATAACTTTAAAAAAATACCATAATTATTGGGATAATAGCTATTCCTGTGACTCTTATGCCTGGGAAATACATGGGAACTCTTCAATAGGACAGTGAATACCACAGCCAGCCACTATAGTTACATCATATGGACGTAAAATTGTAATACAAAAATACAAACTACATGCAATGTCATAATTTACATCTTTATTTGACAAACCAAACCAAAAAGCAATTTGTAACAGTTGAAGCAAAAGAAAAAAAGCTTAAAGATATATATGATACAGCTTCGACAGATATCTGTGTAGCAATTTCAATAACATTTACAAAAGCTTAGAGAGAAAATTTACAAAACCTAGGTTTGTATCTACATATCCATAAAGAAATATAAAAAAATTCTACCAAACACCTTATTGCTTTCAAACCTTAGCCTGGCAATGTGTGACATCCTTTAAAGCTTTTCAAAGATATAACAACAATCACACATACATACAGAATTGAACTTTAGGCACAATGGGATGTTGGCATAAAATTCTCCCAGCCAACAGGAGCACTGATGACCTCACCACCATACCAGTGATGGCACCCTTATGATTAGTTAAAAGCTTGGCGGAAAAATATCCCTCTTTATAGGAAACCTTCTATATTACATAATATGAAAACAAAAATTATCCCAAATAAAATATTTCCATTTTTAAAAGCCTTAGGTCCACCTGAAGTTCCTATGCTGCTGCTTGAATGGAGCTCCAATCTCTCTAGCTCCAGATTTTTGGTAACTGAACTGTTACTGTGGGTTTTCCCATTTGGATGTTACTACACTGGCTAGAGAAGTACACTCCCTCTTCGAGATCTACTCAAAGGAAGTGGAATGTGTACAGAGAGTTTTGCATTTTTAAAGTATAAAATTGCCCCACCCAGTACAAAGTGTGTGCAGTGCATTTCCTTCAGAAGTACAGTATATCTCCCATAGCTCTTATATTTAAGAAAAAAAAAATATTAGCTCAGAAACTGCATGTCATTACAAACGTGGACAGCACAAACAAATATGGGGCAAAATATTTATCAATAAGGGTCACTTACTCCTACGTTGGTAACAATCCCACAACTTGGGAACGGAAGAAGTATGGAAATAAAAATATATATTGCCAATTTCAGAGTACAAAATTAAGTCAACTTAAGCTTTGATCTTGTGTGTCAGAAATGGAAGAATCTTTTGCACAGCAAAGTTTCTCTCCCATGACTTCACAACTTGTGCCAAAGGCACAATCTATTTAAAAAAAAAAAAATTAAAATAGACTAGTTGCGGGTTGCTTTTTTTGCCTTCGTTCATTTGATTGCTTTATCTAACTGAGGTA